GAATGGGAACGCTATCTGTTACATGTCCCGAAACACAATGAAAAATCAGTATTATCAAATGAGTTGCAAGTACAGGGTCTATTCTATTGAAATAATGGCTAAATAGACCCTGGAATGGGAACGCTATCTGTTACATGTCTCGAAACATAATGAAAAGCCTATAATCTCCTATCAGATGCAAATACAGGTTCTGTTCTAACGGGAATGATACGATGTCTAAACAGGCCTTGCATTGAACAGACCTTGGAATGGGAACGCTATCTGTTAAATGTCCCGAAACATAATGCAAAAGTATGCATTCGCAAATGAGATGGTCTGTTTTCTATTGCGAATAATGACTAAACAAACCCTCGAATGGGAATGCTATCTGTGATATGTCCCGAAACATAATGAAAAGGCTGTATTATCAAATGAGTTGTAAGTACAGAGTCTATTTCATTGAAATAATGGCTAAATAGACCCTGGAATTGGAACGCTATCTGTTACATGTCTCGAAACATAAAGTGAAACATGTAATCTCAAATGAGATTCAAATACAGGGTCTGTTCTATCGGGAATGATATGTTGGCTGAACAGACCTTGGAATGAGAACGCTATCTTTTAAATGTCCCGAAACATAATGCAAAAGTATGCATTCGCAAATGAGATGGTCTGTTTTCTATTGCGAATAATGACTAAACAATTTACATCAGAGTACTCGAGACAAGACGAAAAAGAAATTCTTCCAAAAATTCAATTAATAGACGATGAATAAAGCCCAAGACGAGAAGGCCCAAAACCAAACAAAAGAAGTTTAAACGAGAAGGCCCACAACAAAGCAAAGCAAAAAAGAAATTTTTAGTAATCGAGACAAGAAAATCATTCAGATTTCACAGTAATACAATGAACTCAAAATTCCCCCAACGATGACCATTTTGCATTCTGAAAACAAATTAAGATCACAAACAAATCCAGAAGAACAAAATTTGAGTGAGTTCACGGGTTTTAACAATCTCCCACAATTGTTCGATGTGTCCATATTGAGGAAGAAACACACGGGTAAATCGTGGCAAAAGGGTTTTGAAGGTTGAGGAGAAAAAGCCAAAGAATGTCTGTCTCCATCGGCCGACGATGAGGCTTAAAGCAAAGCAAGAAAAACACGCCAAGCAACCAGTTCTTGTCTTTACCTTTGGATTTTTTCTTGATTCTCCCAAATACACAAGGTTGAATGGAAAACCCATCTGATGATACGTCTCGCTTCTGCGATCTAAAAGATTATTTTTTTCCTCGATTGATCGATTGACTGGAGATCTTCAGCTCCTGGGTTCCCTTCTTTTGGTGGGAATCTGATAGGAAGATTTGCTTAGAAGGTGAGTAGGTCTGTTCTCTGATGTTTAAAGCGTCTGTTTGGTTGCCGAGAAACTCCTGGAAAATAAAAGGGAGCCGGTAATTTTGCTTTAGTTTCAATTAATCATGTTCATGCTCACTATTTGTTTGCCAAATTGCTGAAAACTTTGAATTTCGCTTGATCATATTTGGGTAAATTGTCTCTGCGATCTTCTAGCGGACTCAAGTTTATACGTTCCAGATAGTCCTGCCCCTTCGAAACATGAATTCCTTCTGAAACGATATGCCCTTTTTACTTGTTCATTTACAGGAACTTGTGATGGAAATTGTCTCACAGAACACACCACTGCGGATTCATGTGGTGAGCCCTAGTTCCAGATCAGTCAAGAGAAGTGTAGATTCATCTAGGAACGTCAAAGTTTTGTGCTTAAATGGTAGGAAGGGAATTGGACCACCGAAATTCTCTTCACTGAATGATCATAGGAAAGGATCTAGATATTCGAAATCATCGTACGAAGTGGCTAGAAGATCCATTTTTGTGGTTAGAAATGGAATCTCTGAAGGGTATGTTATCGATGGGGATGAAGATGTTGGAACTATAACAAGCAGACGGGAATCTGCCTCGAAGATTTCGATTCCAGGTTTGCCCGATGAATCCAAGGGTGTGGCGATTTTACATAACTCATTTTCTTCCTTATCTAAAATTATCACGTGGTTTTTACAGGGGAAATATGTATTACTGCGGGAGAATTCACGTTTTCGCAGCCAGATTTCTCGTAATGAACTGTGAGCTTAGGCCTCCACTCCCAGTAAAAGCTACTGATGGAAGCTCCATGTTCACCCTTGGATTCATCGGGCAAACCTGGAATCGAAATCTTCGAGGCAGATTCCCGTCTGCTTGTTATAGTTCCAACATCTTCATCCCCTGTTGTGATTTTGTTATTTTGGTATGTTATATTTGCATTGATAGAAGTCGAAAGAGGAATTTGTAAGTGCTCTTCCCTGCTTCTTTTTATACATCGTATGTCTGAATTCGGTATTAAGCAACTCAAGACATGGGATGATGATTGTCAATATGTTTTAATTCATCCCAACATGGAAAGTGGTAATTAAAAGAATATTTAAAATTGGAAATTGGTGTGGCGATTTTACATAACTCATTTTCTTCCTTATCTAAAATTATCACGTGGTTTTTACAGGGGAAATATGTATTACTGCGGGAGAATTCACGTTTTCGCAGCCAGATTTCTCGTAATGAACTGTGAGCTTAGGCCTCCACTCCCAGTAAAAGCTACTGATGGAAGCTCCATGTTCACCCTTGGATTCATCGGGCAAACCTGGAATCGAAATCTTCGAGGCAGATTCCCGTCTGCTTGTTATAGTTCCAACATCTTCATCCCCATCGATAACATACCCTTCAGAGATTCCATTTCTAACCACAAAAATGGATCTTCTAGCCACTTCGTACGATGATTTCGAATATCTAGATCCTTTCCTATGATCATTCAGTGAAGAGAATTTCGGTGGTCCAATTCCCTTCCTACCATTTAAGCACAAAACTTTGACGTTCCTAGATGAATCTACACTTCTCTTGACTGATCTGGAACTAGGGCTCACCACATGAATCCGCAGTGGTGTGTTCTGTGAGACAATTTCCATCACAAGTTCCTGTAAATGAACAAGTAAAAAGGGCATATCGTTTCAGAAGGAATTCATGTTTCGAAGGGGCAGGACTATCTGGAACGTATAAACTTGAGTCCGCTAGAAGATCGCAGAGACAATTTACCCAAATATGATCAAGCGAAATTCAAAGTTTTCAGCAATTTGGCAAACAAATAGTGAGCATGAACATGATTAATTGAAACTAAAGCAAAATTACCGGCTCCCTTTTATTTTCCAGGAGTTTCTCGGCAACCAAACAGACGCTTTAAACATCAGAGAACAGACCTACTCACCTTCTAAGCAAATCTTCCTATCAGATTCCCACCAAAAGAAGGGAACCCAGGAGCTGAAGATCTCCAGTCAATCGATCAATCGAGGAAAAAAATAATCTTTTAGATCGCAGAAGCGAGACGTATCATCAGATGGGTTTTCCATTCAACCTTGTGTATTTGGGAGAATCAAGAAAAAATCCAAAGGTAAAGACAAGAACTGGTTGCTTGGCGTGTTTTTCTTGCTTTGCTTTAAGCCTCATCGTCGGCCGATGGAGACAGACATTCTTTGGCTTTTTCTCCTCAACCTTCAAAACCCTTTTGCCACGATTTACCCGTGTGTTTCTTCCTCAATATGGACACATCGAACAATTGTGGGAGATTGTTAAAACCCGTGAACTCACTCAAATTTTGTTCTTCTGGATTTGTTTGTGATCTTAATTTGTTTTCAGAATGCAAAATGGTCATCGTTGGGGGAATTTTGAGTTCATTGTATTACTGTGAAATCTGAATGATTTTCTTGTCTCGATTACTAAAAATTTCTTTTTTGCTTTGCTTTGTTGTGGGCCTTCTCGTTTAAACTTCTTTTGTTTGGTTTTGGGCCTTCTCGTCTTGGGCTTTATTCATCGTCTATTAATTGAATTTTTGGAAGAATTTCTTTTTCGTCTTGTCTCGAGTACTCTGATGTAAATCATGTAATCGGGCCAGTTTTTGAATTCAAATGGGCCTAATTTCTGACCGTTGGGAAAAACTGGGTTAAAACGGAATACCGGAAATGCCCTTACGCTTACACTGAAATTTTCCTGTTTTGTGGAAATGCCGACCCTTAAATAAGAGGGTCTGACACTCTCATTTGTCATTACTCTCCTTCCTATTCGTCTTTCCTCTCTCTCTCTCTCGATGGCGATTTTCTTCTTCGCTATCTTTTCCAGTTCTTGGAGTTTCTTGCGAATCTGTTCCTCATTTCTTAGTTTCTGTTTCTCCCTTCTGATTTCTACGTTTACCCACCCAGTGAACCCAATGCCAGAAACCCTAGTTTTTCTACATTTGCATGCTTCTTGTTGATTCCACGCGTGGAACGTTCGATTTTGTAGAAAAGGCTGCATCTTTCCTGTTTTTCTTTGAAAGCTCTGTAACGTTTTCCGGTTTATGTTTTTTCTTTGATTGCTAGTCACGGTTTAGTGTAGCCTCTGAATTTTCTTTTCTTGGTTTTTTGGATTTTTTCTATTGGCTTCAGGTGGGTTCGGTGTCTCAATCGGCGTTGATTCGATTGACATCACACAGATCTTAACTGTTCACTTCAGGGACATCGAGGAATCCGCCATCAATGAGGAGAAGTTGCTGATCACGGCGGAGCTCCTCCGTCTCTTCTCGTCTCTGCCTTGTCACAATGAGAAATCTGCCTGGTTTCTCAGGTAACCTCGCTCTATCACACATCAAATTCTGCAAAGCTTGAATATCTTGTAAGTTTCGCGAATATAGACATTGTACGGTATATTTTGACTAACTGCGTGAAGAATTGGAGTGTTCGTCACATCTCTGTGTCAATCGTTGATTAATTATTTCTCTTTTGCAATTTGAGTTTCTGATAATATTCAGCAGTAATGGGGGGTCTAGGCTTTCCTTAGAGACATACATCGGTTCATGAACTGCGGGAGAATTCACGTTTTCGCAGCCAGATTTCTCGTAATGAACTGTGAGCTTAGGCCTCCACTCCCAGTAAAAGCTACTGATGGAAGCTCCATGTTCACCCTTGGATTCATCGGGCAAACCTGGAATCGAAATCTTCGAGGCAGATTCCCGTCTGCTTGTTATAGTTCCAACATCTTCATCCCCATCGATAACATACCCTTCAGAGATTCCATTTCTAACCACAAAAATGGATCTTCTAGCCACTTCGTACGATGATTTCGAATATCTAGATCCTTTCCTATGATCATTCAGTGAAGAGAATTTCGGTGGTCCAATTCCCTTCCTACCATTTAAGCACAAAACTTTGACGTTCCTAGATGAATCTACACTTCTCTTGACTGATCTGGAACTAGGGCTCACCACATGAATCCGCAGTGGTGTGTTCTGTGAGACAATTTCCATCACAAGTTCCTGTAAATGAACAAGTAAAAAGGGCATATCGTTTCAGAAGGAATTCATGTTTCGAAGGGGCAGGACTATCTGGAACGTATAAACTTGAGTCCGCTAGAAGATCGCAGAGACAATTTACCCAAATATGATCAAGCGAAATTCAAAGTTTTCAGCAATTTGGCAAACAAATAGTGAGCATGAACATGATTAATTGAAACTAAAGCAAAATTACCGGCTCCCTTTTATTTTCCAGGAGTTTCTCGGCAACCAAACAGACGCTTTAAACATCAGAGAACAGACCTACTCACCTTCTAAGCAAATCTTCCTATCAGATTCCCACCAAAAGAAGGGAACCCAGGAGCTGAAGATCTCCAGTCAATCGATCAATCGAGGAAAAAAATAATCTTTTAGATCGCAGAAGCGAGACGTATCATCAGATGGGTTTTCCATTCAACCTTGTGTATTTGGGAGAATCAAGAAAAAATCCAAAGGTAAAGACAAGAACTGGTTGCTTGGCGTGTTTTTCTTGCTTTGCTTTAAGCCTCATCGTCGGCCGATGGAGACAGACATTCTTTGGCTTTTTCTCCTCAACCTTCAAAACCCTTTTGCCACGATTTACCCGTGTGTTTCTTCCTCAATATGGACACATCGAACAATTGTGGGAGATTGTTAAAACCCGTGAACTCACTCAAATTTTGTTCTTCTGGATTTGTTTGTGATCTTAATTTGTTTTCAGAATGCAAAATGGTCATCGTTGGGGGAATTTTGAGTTCATTGTATTACTGTGAAATCTGAATGATTTTCTTGTCTCGATTACTAAAAATTTCTTTTTTGCTTTGCTTTGTTGTGGGCCTTCTCGTTTAAACTTCTTTTGTTTGGTTTTGGGCCTTCTCGTCTTGGGCTTTATTCATCGTCTATTAATTGAATTTTTGGAAGAATTTCTTTTTCGTCTTGTCTCGAGTACTCTGATGTAAATCATGTAATCGGGCCAGTTTTTGAATTCAAATGGGCCTAATTTCTGACCGTTGGGAAAAACTGGGTTAAAACGGAATACCGGAAATGCCCTTACGCTTACACTGAAATTTTCCTGTTTTGTGGAAATGCCGACCCTTAAATAAGAGGGTCTGACACTCTCATTTGTCATTACTCTCCTTCCTATTCGTCTTTCCTCTCTCTCTCTCTCGATGGCGATTTTCTTCTTCGCTATCTTTTCCAGTTCTTGGAGTTTCTTGCGAATCTGTTCCTCATTTCTTAGTTTCTGTTTCTCCCTTCTGATTTCTACGTTTACCCACCCAGTGAACCCAATGCCAGAAACCCTAGTTTTTCTACATTTGCATGCTTCTTGTTGATTCCACGCGTGGAACGTTCGATTTTGTAGAAAAGGCTGCATCTTTCCTGTTTTTCTTTGAAAGCTCTGTAACGTTTTCCGGTTTATGTTTTTTCTTTGATTGCTAGTCACGGTTTAGTGTAGCCTCTGAATTTTCTTTTCTTGGTTTTTTGGATTTTTTCTATTGGCTTCAGGTGGGTTCGGTGTCTCAATCGGCGTTGATTCGATTGACATCACACAGATCTTAACTGTTCACTTCAGGGACATCGAGGAATCCGCCATCAATGAGGAGAAGTTGCTGATCACGGCGGAGCTCCTCCGTCTCTTCTCGTCTCTGCCTTGTCACAATGAGAAATCTGCCTGGTTTCTCAGGTAACCTCGCTCTATCACACATCAAATTCTGCAAAGCTTGAATATCTTGTAAGTTTCGCGAATATAGACATTGTACGGTATATTTTGACTAACTGCGTGAAGAATTGGAGTGTTCGTCACATCTCTGTGTCAATCGTTGATTAATTATTTCTCTTTTGCAATTTGAGTTTCTGATAATATTCAGCAGTAATGGGGGGTCTAGGCTTTCCTTAGAGACATACATCGGTTCATGAACTGCGGGAGAATTCACGTTTTCGCAGCCAGATTTCTCGTAATGAACTGTGAGCTTAGGCCTCCACTCCCAGTAAAAGCTACTGATGGAAGCTCCATGTTCACCCTTGGATTCATCGGGCAAACCTGGAATCGAAATCTTCGAGGCAGATTCCCGTCTGCTTGTTATAGTTCCAACATCTTCATCCCCATCGATAACATACCCTTCAGAGATTCCATTTCTAACCACAAAAATGGATCTTCTAGCCACTTCGTACGATGATTTCGAATATCTAGATCCTTTCCTATGATCATTCAGTGAAGAGAATTTCGGTGGTCCAATTCCCTTCCTACCATTTAAGCACAAAACTTTGACGTTCCTAGATGAATCTACACTTCTCTTGACTGATCTGGAACTAGGGCTCACCACATGAATCCGCAGTGGTGTGTTCTGTGAGACAATTTCCATCACAAGTTCCTGTAAATGAACAAGTAAAAAGGGCATATCGTTTCAGAAGGAATTCATGTTTCGAAGGGGCAGGACTATCTGGAACGTATAAACTTGAGTCCGCTAGAAGATCGCAGAGACAATTTACCCAAATATGATCAAGCGAAATTCAAAGTTTTCAGCAATTTGGCAAACAAATAGTGAGCATGAACATGATTAATTGAAACTAAAGCAAAATTACCGGCTCCCTTTTATTTTCCAGGAGTTTCTCGGCAACCAAACAGACGCTTTAAACATCAGAGAACAGACCTACTCACCTTCTAAGCAAATCTTCCTATCAGATTCCCACCAAAAGAAGGGAACCCAGGAGCTGAAGATCTCCAGTCAATCGATCAATCGAGGAAAAAAATAATCTTTTAGATCGCAGAAGCGAGACGTATCATCAGATGGGTTTTCCATTCAACCTTGTGTATTTGGGAGAATCAAGAAAAAATCCAAAGGTAAAGACAAGAACTGGTTGCTTGGCGTGTTTTTCTTGCTTTGCTTTAAGCCTCATCGTCGGCCGATGGAGACAGACATTCTTTGGCTTTTTCTCCTCAACCTTCAAAACCCTTTTGCCACGATTTACCCGTGTGTTTCTTCCTCAATATGGACACATCGAACAATTGTGGGAGATTGTTAAAACCCCCGCGTTTTCTACTGCAATGGTTCTTCCTCTTTTCGAGCTTTTAAGTCCGAACCCGTAAATTTTACGGATGGATTCGGACGGGTAACAGATTTGGACTTTTTCGACACTAACATCCAGGGACGTAATCTTACATGTTCAATTTGATCGATTATGCCCATATGATTCAAAGTAAAAGGGGGGCGAGAGATCTGATTAGTTCATGAGATCTGTTGGTACCAAATCTGTTGGGATGCGCACATGGCTGGTGGAACTTATCTCTCAAAGGGATGGAACAATCGAAAGGTTAACACTCATATGCGGTGCAGTCATATCGTATCTCTCTGTGAAGTTGATACGGAAAAACAAGAAACGAAAACCCGAGACCGCTTTCATGTGTTAAAGAACTGTCTCCATGATAAAACCAGGATACATATGAATGGTATTGTGTAAAGAATATATATACACTTTTTGTTTGTACGCTTAAGCACAATGTAGGTTCTGTAAACCGATTCAGTTAGTTGAAGGCTTGAAGCTGTTACCTTGGGATCGGTTTCCAGTCGATTTCTAAGTGCTGCCATTGTAATGCTTCCATGGCTTTATCCAGGGCTGTTTTCCGGTGCTGTAGCAAGGCATGTGAACCATCATCGCTCTGCTCCAACGTGTCCCTGTTCTTCTGTTTCCGAGGCAACTTTCTTGAGATGCTCTTCCAATTTGATTCAAAGGAAGAAGCTGAAATGAAATATCATGGAAGCGATAGCCATATTGCATATATGATTATATTCAGATTCCAAATGCAAAGAGAAGTCATTCATTTGTTGTGTTTTCGGTTCAAGAATGATCAACTGCGAGTGGGATTAATATTGATGGAAGAAGAAAGACGATATTTCACGATCAACCCACCTTCGCTTTGGCCATTGAAACCATGGACAATGCAGGCACAAAGCCAGGGTCTTCCTGCACATGAAGCTTTTGCACCGCCTCTGATTTCGCCATTGTGCTGCTTCAATCTGCACAAAGAACACTCGCTTTAGATATCCAATCTATGAATGATGCCATATTTCACCTCCAAAACCACGATAGCGAAAATCCCAGTTCTTCAATTCTCGTTGGAGAGCTCAGAGATCTCAACATCAATGAAAGAATAACTTCGGTTCGATGATTAAGGTTGTTCTAACACGAAACTAACTTATGTTCTGTTCAAACCCTAAACTTCCATTAAGGACATCAAGGGACTGATTCCACGGAATCAGTCATCCAGAGCTCAGGCCCACGTGGGAATTTCAACAGAGAGAAACAGAAAAGAAAGCTCTATGAAAAATTACTTTCAGCATCAACAAATCAACACATACATATATCTAACCCCGGATATGTAGCGAAAAATTTCAGAAATTGATCCGAACCCAGATCATACAACCTCACAAACTACCGAAATCTATCGTTATTAACGATCGGAGAGCATGAAAACATGACGAACCGGCGAGAGAAATCGGTTGTGACGCCGACATAAGTTTTGATGGGTTTGTTCGTAGACAGAATCAGATAAACACACCAAGATCTTGACTTTATTGCGGATTTCGAATTTGGGCTCCTCGGCGAAGAGGAAGATGACGAGATTTGGGTCGGCAAATCCTGGGATTTGGGGAATTTTTGTGGGTTAGGGTTGGGATTGCGGAGCTTCACCGACGGAAACGTTCTGGATATAGACCTCATCATCTCATTATTCCGACACCGAGATGGAAGTCGAGGGGGGAAAACAACACGATCTTTTCCACTACAAAAGAACTCGAGCAATATACATAAATATACGAAATGTTAGACGATCCGAAAATAATAATCGTTAAATATCATTCTACATTTTAGACATTTTAATTACGATATTTTAAATGCAAAAAAAAGTTACGATTTTTTTAAAAGATGTTAATATTTTTAATTGTGATCCTTTCATAATTTTATTATATGTATCCCGTACCAAAATCCTATCGAGAAGTTATTGTGTGTAATTAGATTCATTTTATTTTTAGGAGAATTGTAATATCCCCTCTTCTACACTTTTTTTTTTCTTCTACTGAATTTAATTTTGTAAAATTATTATTTTTGTTATAATTATGAGATGCAGAATGGTACGCTTGACGTGAAAAAGTGGTAAAAGAATAATACAATGCTTTATATAAACTTACACGAAGAATAAGGCATTTTGAATATACAAGATAATTTACATCTAACTTTGTTGGTTTCGGACAACAGTTAACATGTGCTTTTGTCCTGGGCAGACTTCTTTAGCACCAAACTCAAATTGGATCTCAAGTACGAACCAACCTGTCTCCATAGCGAATACTTAGATCCGTACAACCGTAGATTCACCGATTTCTTGGAACCGTCTCTAGGAAATTCGAGTTCTCGGGCAATGCTTGATTCAGAATCTTCGTCTTCCAGATGCGGTAGCGACGAAGAACCACCCGATTCCAGGTGCTGGATCCACCCGCGAAGCAGATAGTTTACGACCTGCTCGAAATCCAATACAAAGGATAAGTTTTTCAGATGACTATAAATACCCAAAAATCGAAAAACAGTCTCGTGCTCATCCCATATGACAATGCAGAACCAGCAAAAGTTCATGTAGTAAAAGCTCGAAGTTATATTCTCGTACCTCAGGGACTTCGTCGTGAGGGCAGTGACCGGCGGGGCTGATCACATAGTAAGGAGCGTTGGGTATTTGCCACTTTATCCTTAGTCCCCATATCGGTTTCACCCACGGATCTTCTCTTCCATACATGAGACAGATGGGAACTTTGTTTTTTTTACACCTTTTGAGACAACAATCAAACAAGCGTTTCTTCAGTAAAAAACGGCAAGAACGATTTTGCAGAGAGAAGAACGAGACAGGAGGGATTGAGCCTTTTCTTCTTACATAGATAAAGCATCGGCGAAAGAAAGCTGTCCGGCAGGAGCACACATAATGGAAGCAAGCGAGGCAGCAGCAGCGGGATGGCGAGTGATCTCAACTATATGAGAGAACACTTTATCAACATCCGTAGAATGGTCAGCATAAACCTGTCTGAGTATTTCCGCTATGCTTTTGGGATCACTTATCTTCTGCCACCTGAAATCCAGCAGGGAAATGAGAGTAAAACCATCATCAAACTAATGACAGTCCCCATCTGAAACTAAGTGCTGCCATTGTAATGCTTCCATGGCTTTATCCAGGGCTGTTTTCCGGTGCTGTAGCAAGGCATGTGAACCATCATCGCTCTGCTCCAACGTGTCCCTGTTCTTCTGTTTCCGAGGCAACTTTCTTGAGATGCTCTTCCAATTTGATTCAAAGGAAGAAGCTGAAATGAAATATCATGGAAGCGATAGCCATATTGCATATATGATTATATTCAGATTCCAAATGCAAAGAGAAGTCATTCATTTGTTGTGTTTTCGGTTCAAGAATGATCAACTGCGAGTGGGATTAATATTGATGGAAGAAGAAAGACGATATTTCACGATCAACCCACCTTCGCTTTGGCCATTGAAACCATGGACAATGCAGGCACAAAGCCAGGGTCTTCCTGCACATGAAGCTTTTGCACCGCCTCTGATTTCGCCATTGTGCTGCTTCAATCTGCACAAAGAACACTCGCTTTAGATATCCAATCTATGAATGATGCCATATTTCACCTCCAAAACCACGATAGCGAAAATCCCAGTTCTTCAATTCTCGTTGGAGAGCTCAGAGATCTCAACATCAATGAAAGAATAACTTCGGTTCGATGATTAAGGTTGTTCTAACACGAAACTAACTTATGTTCTGTTCAAACCCTAAACTTCCATTAAGGACATCAAGGGACTGATTCCACGGAATCAGTCATCCAGAGCTCAGGCCCACGTGGGAATTTCAACAGAGAGAAACAGAAAAGAAAGCTCTATGAAAAATTACTTTCAGCATCAACAAATCAACACATACATATATCTAACCCCGGATATGTAGCGAAAAATTTCAGAAATTGATCCGAACCCAGATCATACAACCTCACAAACTACCGAAATCTATCGTTATTAACGATCGGAGAGCATGAAAACATGACGAACCGGCGAGAGAAATCGGTTGTGACGCCGACATAAGTTTTGATGGGTTTGTTCGTAGACAGAATCAGATAAACACACCAAGATCTTGACTTTATTGCGGATTTCGAATTTGGGCTCCTCGGCGAAGAGGAAGATGACGAGATTTGGGTCGGCAAATCCTGGGATTTGGGGAATTTTTGTGGGTTAGGGTTGGGATTGCGGAGCTTCACCGACGGAAACGTTCTGGATATAGACCTCATCATCTCATTATTCCGACACCGAGATGGAAGTCGAGGGGGGAAAACAACACGATCTTTTCCACTACAAAAGAACTCGAGCAATATACATAAATATACGAAATGTTAGACGATCCGAAAATAATAATCGTTAAATATCATTCTACATTTTAGACATTTTAATTACGATATTTTAAATGCAAAAAAAAGTTACGATTTTTTTAAAAGATGTTAATATTTTTAATTGTGATCCTTTCATAATTTTATTATATGTATCCCGTACCAAAATCCTATCGAGAAGTTATTGTGTGTAATTAGATTCATTTTATTTTTAGGAGAATTGTAATATCCCCTCTTCTACACTTTTTTTTTTCTTCTACTGAATTTAATTTTGTAAAATTATTATTTTTGTTATAATTATGAGATGCAGAATGGTACGCTTGACGTGAAAAAGTGGTAAAAGAATAATACAATGCTTTATATAAACTTACACGAAGAATAAGGCATTTTGAATATACAAGATAATTTACATCTAACTTTGTTGGTTTCGGACAACAGTTAACATGTGCTTTTGTCCTGGGCAGACTTCTTTAGCACCAAACTCAAATTGGATCTCAAGTACGAACCAACCTGTCTCCATAGCGAATACTTAGATCCGTACAACCGTAGATTCACCGATTTCTTGGAACCGTCTCTAGGAAATTCGAGTTCTCGGGCAATGCTTGATTCAGAATCTTCGTCTTCCAGATGCGGTAGCGACGAAGAACCACCCGATTCCAGGTGCTGGATCCACCCGCGAAGCAGATAGTTTACGACCTGCTCGAAATCCAATACAAAGGATAAGTTTTTCAGATGACTATAAATACCCAAAAATCGAAAAACAGTCTCGTGCTCATCCCATATGACAATGCAGAACCAGCAAAAGTTCATGTAGTAAAAGCTCGAAGTTATATTCTCGTACCTCAGGGACTTCGTCGTGAGGGCAGTGACCGGCGGGGCTGATCACATAGTAAGGAGCGTTGGGTATTTGCCACTTTATCCTTAGTCCCCATATCGGTTTCACCCACGGATCTTCTCTTCCATACATGAGACAGATGGGAACTTTGTTTTTTTTACACCTTTTGAGACAACAATCAAACAAGCGTTTCTTCAGTAAAAAACGGCAAGAACGATTTTGCAGAGAGAAGAACGAGACAGGAGGGATTGAGCCTTTTCTTCTTACATAGATAAAGCATCGGCGAAAGAAAGCTGTCCGGCAGGAGCACACATAATGGAAGCAAGCGAGGCAGCAGCAGCGGGATGGCGAGTGATCTCAACTATATGAGAGAACACTTTATCAACATCCGTAGAATGGTCAGCATAAACCTGTCTGAGTATTTCCGCTATGCTTTTGGGATCACTTATCTTCTGCCACCTGAAATCCAGCAGGGAAATGAGAGTAAAACCATCATCAAACTAATGACAGTCCCCATCTGAAACTAAGTGCTGCCATTGTAATGCTTCCATGGCTTTATCCAGGGCTGTTTTCCGGTGCTGTAGCAAGGCATGTGAACCATCATCGCTCTGCTCCAACGTGTCCCTGTTCTTCTGTTTCCGAGGCAACTTTCTTGAGATGCTCTTCCAATTTGATTCAAAGGAAGAAGCTGAAATGAAATATCATGGAAGCGATAGCCATATTGCATATATGATTATATTCAGATTCCAAATGCAAAGAGAAGTCATTCATTTGTTGTGTTTTCGGTTCAAGAATGATCAACTGCGAGTGGGATTAATATTGATGGAAGAAGAAAGACGATATTTCACGATCAACCCACCTTCGCTTTGGCCATTGAAACCATGGACAATGCAGGCACAAAGCCAGGGTCTTCCTGCACATGAAGCTTTTGCACCGCCTCTGATTTCGCCATTGTGCTGCTTCAATCTGCACAAAGAACACTCGCTTTAGATATCCAATCTATGAATGATGCCATATTTCACCTCCAAAACCACGATAGCGAAAATCCCAGTTCTTCAATTCTCGTTGGAGAGCTCAGAGATCTCAACATCAATGAAAGAATAACTTCGGTTCGATGATTAAGGTTGTTCTAACACGAAACTAACTTATGTTCTGTTCAAACCCTAAACTTCCATTAAGGACATCAAGGGACTGATTCCACGGAATCAGTCATCCAGAGCTCAGGCCCACGTGGGAATTTCAACAGAGAGAAACAGAAAAGAAAGCTCTATGAAAAATTACTTTCAGCATCAACAAATCAACACATACATATATCTAACCCCGGATATGTAGCGAAAAATTTCAGAAATTGATCCGAACCCAGATCATACAACCTCACAAACTACCGAAATCTATCGTTATTAACGATCGGAGAGCATGAAAACATGACGAACCGGCGAGAGAAATCGGTTGTGACGCCGACATAAGTTTTGATGGGTTTGTTCGTAGACAGAATCAGATAAACACACCAAGATCTTGACTTTATTGCGGATTTCGAATTTGGGCTCCTCGGCGAAGAGGAAGATGACGAGATTTGGGTCGGCAAATCCTGGGATTTGGGGAATTTTTGTGGGTTAGGGTTGGGATTGCGGAGCTTCACCGACGGAAACGTTCTGGATATAGACCTCATCATCTCATTATTCCGACACCGAGATGGAAGTCGAGGGGGGAAAACAACACGATCTTTTCCACTACAAAAGAACTCGAGCAATATACATAAATATACGAAATGTTAGACGATCCGAAAATAATAATCGTTAAATATCATTCTACATTTTAGACATTTTAATTACGATATTTTAAATGCAAAAAAAAGTTACGATTTTTTTAAAAGATGTTAATATTTTTAATTGTGATCCTTTCATAATTTTATTATATGTATCCCGTACCAAAATCCTATCGAGAAGTTATTGTGTGTAATTAGATTCATTTTATTTTTAGGAGAATTGTAATATCCCCTCTTCTACACTTTTTTTTTTCTTCTACTGAATTTAATTTTGTAAAATTATTATTTTTGTTATAATTATGAGATGCAGAATGGTACGCTTGACGTGAAAAAGTGGTAAAAGAATAATACAATGCTTTATATAAACTTACACGAAGAATAAGGCATTTTGAATATACAAGATAATTTACATCTAACTTTGTTGGTTTCGGACAACAGTTAACATGTGCTTTTGTCCTGGGCAGACTTCTTTAGCACCAAACTCAAATTGGATCTCAAGTACGAACCAACCTGTCTCCATAGCGAATACTTAGATCCGTACAACCGTAGATTCACCGATTTCTTGGAACCGTCTCTAGGAAATTCGAGTTCTCGGGCAATGCTTGATTCAGAATCTTCGTCTTCCAGATGCGGTAGCGACGAAGAACCACCCGATTCCAGGTGCTGGATCCACCCGCGAAGCAGATAGTTTACGACCTGCTCGAAATCCAATACAAAGGATAAGTTTTTCAGATGACTATAAATACCCAAAAATCGAAAAACAGTCTCGTGCTCATCCCATATGACAATGCAGAACCAGCAAAAGTTCATGTAGTAAAAGCTCGAAGTTATATTCTCGTACCTCAGGGACTTCGTCGTGAGGGCAGTGACCGGCGGGGCTGATCACATAGTAAGGAGCGTTGGGTATTTGCCACTTTATCCTTAGTCCCCATATCGGTTTCACCCACGGATCTTCTCTTCCATACATGAGACAGATGGGAACTTTGTTTTTTTTACACCTTTTGAGACAACAATCAAACAAGCGTTTCTTCAGTAAAAAACGGCAAGAACGATTTTGCAGAGAGAAGAACGAGACAGGAGGGATTGAGCCTTTTCTTCTTACATAGATAAAGCATCGGCGAAAGAAAGCTGTCCGGCAGGAGCACACATAATGGAAGCAAGCGAGGCAGCAGCAGCGGGATGGCGAGTGATCTCAACTATATGAGAGAACACTTTATCAACATCCGTAGAATGGTCAGCATAAACCTGTCTGAGTATTTCCGCTATGCTTTTGGGATCACTTATCTTCTGCCACCTGAAATCCAGCAGGGAAATGAGAGTAAAACCATCATCAAACTAATGACAGTCCCCATCTGAAACTAAGTGCTGCCATTGTAATGCTTCCATGGCTTTATCCAGGGCTGTTTTCCGGTGCTGTAGCAAGGCATGTGAACCATCATCGCTCTGCTCCCGTTTCATGGAAAACAAGTGGCAAGAACACGTAGAAGATGACAAAGGTAAGCTCTTTGTTGCTTCAATTCTCTACGCAATCATCTATACGGTTTCCAGGGTAGTGGAATCTTGGAAATGGACAGATATCAGACAAGGGAACGAGCTCATTGAATCTCAGACAACTCATTAAACGATGCAAGAAGATGAACATAACAGTTCATGTGGACACATTTTGTCAACAGAGAACAGGGCATGAGCCTGCAATACTCTTGAGCTCATCATAAATTCAAAAAAATGGAATGATCTAAACCAGCATGCAAGAACTAATTCCCAACACAATCTCACTTAGAACAACAACTTCCAACATTCGAAGAACTACAGTAAACTTTTTATCCGGAAGAAACAAAATTCCCAAATTATTTTAAACCCACATGAGAAATTTCTGCATAAACAACAAAAAGAGCGCCAGAAGAAGGTCCCACTGCAATAAACAAATCAACACATTGGACAAATTTAGAAACCACCCAGCAACAAATGCAACTACACAACAACAACAAAAAAACAGACAAAAAAAACCAGAGTGAAACAGAAATCACGAGTCAGGACATTGTTGTTATACCCAGAACTGGCGAACTCGAAGAGCTTGCCGGAATTCGAGAAGACGATGACAGCAACCTCGGCATCGCAAAGAACGGCGAGTTCATGAGCCTTCTTCAGCAACCCAGCACGTCTCTTCGAGAACGTGACTTGCCTGTTATTCGCGTTCTCGATCCTCTTTATCTCGATTTTGCCCCGACCCATCTTCGATTTTCGGCAAATTCGAATGCCCAATTTCTCAAAGAAAAAACAAACAAACAAACAAACAAAGAATCGCAGGAAAAGCTTTGCTCAGACCCCTGAACCCCTTTTTATCTTCTCTCACCTTCCCCTAGTTGGGGTTTTACCCTTTTTTGACCTTGGATACAAAAGGTGGGAATCTATAATAGGAAGACCAAGGTTGCTAAATTTGGACCAAATTTTTTTTTTTTCATTTTCTTTCAGAAAGATTTGGAAAAACAAAATAGGAAAAAAACGAGAGAAGGAAACGGCGAAGTGGTGTGTCGTGTGTTGCATGGGCTCTGTTCTCTGTGCTCTTTTTGCATTGCATGAAGTCCCTTTTGCCACATTTGGATGGTTTCTCTGTCTATTTGGGGTCCACTTGTGGGTCCTCTTTCCTTCAAAATTACCTAAACTCGTAATTTTCATTTTTATGGTAATGTAAAAATTGGCATGCTCTTTGATTTTTGCCTAGATATTCAAATTTGATCTTCGTCCCGTGGTATATTCGGTTTGTGATTTGAATATTTTCCTCTGCATTAAATACATTTGTATTTGATAAGTAAAATATTGGTCTTCTATGGAGAATATTTATCCAATATTGATTCAATTTAAACTTTAGGAAATTTCTAAATTTGAATATTTTATTATTTTTAATACCTAGCGAAATTCTAGTATTCACTCTCACTAGCCGACATTATCTATTTCTTATGAAATTTGTGAAGGAAAAAAAAACTATTTGGCAATTATCTGCAAGCATCATATGCTTTAAAATTATATTTAATTTATTTTCCTTCCAATTTTCTCTGTTGGAACCAGCCCATATCCGAGGCCCAAGAACTGGGCGATGGTAAATGAGCATGCATGGTCTCATCAGTCCAAACATGGACAAACATAAGAACGCCCAACCACCTGGACCTGGGCCTACTGGGCCAAAAGGCCCGGAAACTACGTCCTAGTTGTAATAAAAATAAATAATATTAATTCTTTAACCAAAGAAATAAGCAAGATGTTTTCGTGTTCTTGATCGCCTAGAAGCCGAATGTATACAAAAATATAATTCTTTCACCAAAGGGGAGAGACATAGATTCTGTACCATCTTTTTCCGAACCCAGCTCTCTGTCTTCCCCCATACTTTTTTTTTTTTGCTTTTTGTTTTTTCGTTAATTTTATATTTTTTTATATATTTAAAACCAAAGTGGGAAGAGGCAGAGAATGAAAATAAAAGTGATGTTACTTTTGGTGAAAAAAGTGATATTATTTACTTTTTTTTTACATGGTTTTTAAAATTCATTTTTCTTCGGTGGAATTCATTCGTAGCTTTTATTTGAAGGGATTTTCATTGAAACATCATCTGCCCTCACCATTCTTGATTTGATTCAACAACTGTGTAGGCCCAGACTTGTTGCTTTTCATAATAACACTATCAGCTAACATTAGACATTTTCCTTCAGCCTCAAGTTTCATATCTCATCTCGCATTTTCTCAATTCTCTCCTAAATCGATTGGATTCAGCAACCGAAGAATCTAAAAATCTCAATCAAAACCCTTGAAACAATCAACACAAACTCTACAGATGAACTGAAAGATTTCCAGGTTTCTCTTCTTTTCACCTTGTGAATATGAGCAATGACTGATTCAGTTCAAGAAAAATCTCAGAATGTACAAACGTTTTCACACCGCAGATAAAATAGAAAGTGGCCTTACTTGTATAACTCCGAGCTTTTTTGGAAGAATCAGACACTAAGACAGAGCTTTCTCTGTAAACAGTTCTGAACGGGATTGATTCCTTCCTCTTCTACGAGCACTGCTATCTTCTTCCCAGATTTGAGACTCGGCTTCAGTTTCAGCCATTAGCTCCATCAAGTTACTCCTAATGCCTAGATCAGAACAGACTTTCCGAGAATCCCTCATCACGTCTCTACTAAATGTTCCTTTGGGATCATGTTCTCCCCGATGAGACCCCTCTTGTGATCTTCTGTACTCAACCGGTCTTCCCATCGTCTCGACCATCAGACAACTGCAATAAACAAATCAACACATTGGACAAATTTAGAAACCACCCAGCAACAAATGCAACTACACAACAACAACAAAAAAACAGACAAAAAAAACCAGAGTGAAACAGAAATCACGAGTCAGGACATTGTTGTTATACCCAGAACTGGCGAACTCGAAGAGCTTGCCGGAATTCGAGAAGACGATGACAGCAACCTCGGCATCGCAAAGAACGGCGAGTTCATGAGCCTTCTTCAGCAACCCAGCACGTCTCTTCGAGAACGTGACTTGCCTGTTATTCGCGTTCTCGATCCTCTTTATCTCGATTTTGCCCCGACCCATCTTCGATTTTCGGCAAATTCGAATGCCCAATTTCTCAAAGAAAAAACAAACAAACAAACAAAACATAGGTTTCTGTCCTGTTCTTCCATGTATTGACTTGTGCTTATCTGTTTGTATTTGGATATTGAATCAGACATGTGTCTTGTCAAAAGAGTTCTGAATCTATCTAACATATGGCTAACTGTTATGCATTCCTAGTGATGATTGGAGTCTCTCTCTCGCACGCATTTGTGTGTTTCCTTTGCTATGTGCCTTTCACTCTTCAGGGGGGATCTATATGTGTGTGCCTTGTTGTTGTGATTTTGTTATTTTGGTATGTTATTTTTGCATTGATAGAAGTCGAAAGAGGAATTTGTAAGTGCTCTTCCCTGCTTCTTTTTATACATCGTATGTCTGAATTCGGTATTAAGCAACTCAAGACATGGGATGATGATTGTCAATATGTTTTAATTCATCCCAACATGGAAAGTGGTAATTAAAAGAATATTTAAAATTGGAAATTGGTGTGGCGATTTTACATAACTCATTTTCTTCCTTATCTAAAATTATCACGTGGTTTTTACAGGGGAAATATGTATTCTGTATTAGCCGCCCTCCATTAACTTTCATCAAATATCAATTCTGTAAAATTTAATTCTGCATATCTAATAAATATTATTTAATGAAGTAGAATAATGTATAGTAAGTAACAGCAAATAGTTGTTATCCATGCAGGTTCTAGAAAAAAAAAATGTTTTAAGGTTTTAAATTTAATAACATTTTCAAAAGAATTTGACAAAAATGGTGAGCTCTGTACCAAATACAATCATACGCATGTTCTACCTATACGTACGTATTCATATCGTATGACTAGAAACCTATATGGAGACATACGTGTATCTATATAAATACGTATATGTTTTGTGTGGTGTACGTACATATTATCTTGTCGTTGTCCAGTAAAATTAGCGAGGGAACGTCACATGGGTCGCACTCGCTCGCACTGCTTTGTCCTGCATCTTGTCTTGTGGCTGTTTCCTCTTCTTCCTTTTTTTTCCTCTCTTCTTTATTTGTAATTTCGTCCTATATTTGTCTTGTTCGATTTTTTTGTTGTCTTGTCATTAACTGATAATCATTTGAAAACTAATCTTTTTCATCATTCTCTTGCTAATTAACAGTGCCATATTTCCTATCCTTGTAATATGGCACAAAAAATTCAATTTTTTACAAATTATGGAACCTAATATATTGCTTTAATAGTATTCTCTCTAAATAGACGAAAGGATCCGTCAATATTTCTTACAAATTATCAATATTTTCCAAGTATGGAACAATCTTCAAAAACACTTAGATGCTGAAATTGAAAATGAAATATGACAAAACAGAATAAAGCAGATGAAACGGGGTATAACATTATAAAGTGCACATGAAACACTTATATGCACTTTATTTTCCCAACAGTTTGTAAATTTTCGGATGTTTGTATTTTTTTTGGAATTTTAGAATTTTATAAATTCGCGTTTTTTTTTTTTTGCTATTTTCATCTTTGTATTTCTTTTACATGTTTGGTCTAAAGAGAGTAGTGATATTCCGCAACGAAAAAAGTAAGTAATATTAAAAGCATTGATACTTTCAGCAACAAGACACCACGTTAAATTTAATTTTAAAAAATAAAAACCTACTTTTAATATTAAACAAGGCTATTAATTATAATTAATACCAACATCGTTTTAATATAATTTCGAAGGGTTCATGTGGTTTTGGTCGGATTTAGATACGCATCCACTCGATCATGACTTTGCTTTGCTCGGAAACATATATCACAAGCTTTATTCGCAGAATAACTTTCAGAAGGAAAATCAAAACTAGAAATCTTCACGGCGATTTGACTGACGAAGTGTACATGAAGCTTCCTCCGGGTTTCTCCTCGCCAAAACCAAACCAAGTCTGCCGTCTCCGGAAATCTTTGTACGGCCTCAAACAGGCCCCTCGTTGTTGGTTTGCAAAACTCGGAACAGCTTTACGTCGCTACGGATTCTCTCAGTCAGAATCCGACCATTCCCTGTTTGTCTATCAGAAGGGACAAACTCGATTGCATGTATTAATCTATGTTGATGATCTTCTGCTGACAGGAAACTCACCCTCCGCCTTGGACGCTTTCAAAGCATATCTTCACTCCTGTTTTCGCATGAAGGATTTGGGTATGCTTAAATATTTCCTTGGTCTTGAGATTGCACGAAGCCCCTTGGGAATTTTCTTATGTCAGCGAAAATACGTGCTCGATATCTTAGCAGACACTGGACTTATTGGTGCTACACCGGCTTCTTTCCCCCTTGAACAGAACCATCGATTAGCTGTCTCCACCAGTGATCTGCTTGACGACCCCGAGCCTTATCGTCGTCTCGTTGGCCGGTTACTATATTTGTTGGCCACCCGACCAGACATTACGTATGCCGTACACGTCCTGTCCCAGTTTATGCAGCAACCACGTCTGGACCATTGGCAGGCCGCCTTACGGGTAGTTCGGTACTTGAAACGCAATCCGGGCCAAGGTATTCTACTTCGTTCCGACTCTGACCTTCGTCTCTCTGCTTGGTGCGACTCCGATTGGGCGGGATGTCCTCGATCTCGCAAATCACTCTCCGGTTGGTTAGTTCAACTCGGCAATTCCCCGATTTCGTGGCGGTCGAAAAAGCAACATACAGTTTCACTTTCTTCTGCTGAAGCAGAGTACCGCGCTATGTCGAGTGCTACCTGTGAGTTGTTATGGCTCAAGGGCCTACTGCGGTCTCTTGGAGTAGATCATTCCGCGCCCATGTTACTTCGATGTGATAGTCAAGCCGCTCTTCATATTGCTGCCAACGATGTTTTCCATGATCGGACGAAACACATCGAGATCGATTGTCATTTCCTCCGGCATCATGTCAGCTCTCAAACTGTGGCTACATGTTACGTTCCCAGCAACTCTCAGCTCGCCGATATTTTCACCAAATCTCTTGGCAAGAAGGAGTTCGACTTGTTTTTAGACAAGCTGGGCGTATATGATATCTACGCTCCACCTTGAGGGAGGGTATTCGGGAGATATTGATATTGTGTATCACGCATACATGGCATATTTACATATTGTAATTATGTCTTTCCTTTTCCTGTAATTAGGTCACGAAGTGGATGTCTTCTGTATACATAGGCTTGCTTGTACATGAATAAACAGAGAAAAAGTTCTTTCTTGGCATGACGGCTTGAACCATATCAAGCCGAACCAAATTAAACTGTGAAATCAAATTGTAAAGAGGAATATTTTTTTTGGTGTGTAAAAAGATCAACTTCCTTTTAATTATATTTTTATTAGATAATTGAGTGCAAATGAATCAAACATGACAAAAAATGGTGTTATTATAGAGTTGCATACAATATAAAATAACATAAAAATAGGGATTTTTTTAGGGGTGGATACAAAAATAAAAATAATGTGATGGACATATAATCATATAATGTATGGATTTTTTTTTTTTGCCATACAACAATATAATGATAACGAGAGAAGAACAACTTTGATGATTGATGCATTAATTATTCGACCGACGATTTCGCTTATTTCTCTTCATTTTTCAATTCTCTCTGAGGGCCATTGCATGTCTGTCAAATTATTTAGGAAACTGTAACAATTGTTTCCTATAAACGATAACTGCATTTTAATGAAAGATGGAATTTTAATGAGAATTAGTTATTATTATTGAATAATACAGATTTTTCCTAAATTAATTATTAAGCTACTGTAACCGTTATTATTTATAAGATATTAGGGTAGTATAATTTTTTCGGTATTATATCAAAAATATCCTCAATTTTTTATTTTGATCTAGTCATCCATATGATCCGAAATATAATCTTGGTCACATTGGTCATAATATTAAATTTTTAATATTTTTATAAATTTAACATTATGATCAATGTGACCAATATTATATTTCGAGTTACATAGATCACACAAAAATATTTTGAAGTCAAAATAGCAAATAATGGATATTTTTTTATAATGCCCAATTTTTTCTTTTAACTTGACAAGCATTGGAGTATACTATGTAAATTGATACAGCAATCATACGGATGGAAATATATGATTTTAAAGAAAATAATGTTTATTGGTTTTGGTGGGGCCACGCCCATGTGGGCGATAGGTCCAGTTTATGCTTTTGATATGCACTCGATCGGAGCCATTTTATTAATTTTCATAATATCTTTTTACTTGCTTTTTTGAAACTTTTACTAAAAATATTTCTCTCTTTTTCCCCAAAGTTAGTTTATATGCTCCAACAGTACATTTGTCATCATTATCTCTCTACCATCCAATTTTGAATTAAAACTTTAGGTTGTTGAAATGTTTACTTTTACTTTCTACTATATAAATATTATCTTTAAGTTGTTAAAATAATGTTTATATGCAACTAGAATTTTATAGGATATTTTCTATATGTATATATATATATATATATGAGTGTGATTCGGAACGAGGACAGAAATTACTGGACTACATGATTGATATATATACATATATACACACACATGTGTGTATGTGTGTGTGTTATGCATTTTGGGTCTTCGAATAATATCATTCAGGTATTTGGTTGCGGGACATATTTCTAAATTGATATAATTAAAAAAAAATGAAAAACTTCACAAGCGGAAATGTCAAACCATGCATATGGGTCTGAATTATTTTATATTTGCAGCCCGCAAAGATACCGAATATATATATATATATATATATATATATATATACAAACACATAAGGGTTTGATGATTACATTCGCAAGGTCCTTGCTACTCTAATCCATTTTGTTCCATGTCTATTCATTGTCCATACCAAAAGGTGATGGGAATTGTGAATAGAATCAGCTATATATTCTTTGGATGTTATATATGTTTTTTTAATAAAAAAAAACTTAATATCGTCATATTTTCATGGCGAAGCTGCAATATCTTTACTCTCCCATAATTTTATTTTTTTTACCATCGAAGAGTGTTAGGTTGGTTCCCTACTCACTCTCTTTTTTTTTTTTTTACATCTTCCTTACCTCATTTAATAGCCATTTTTCTTCGTTCATATCTATAGTAATTGGTAAATATGGCAAATAAGGGATTCCTCCATTGTAAGTAAACAAATTTCAATTGTCAAGTTGCCTAAAGTCCTATGTGTAACATCTTTAGGGCGACGGTCCACATCCCTCGGCTTCATAGTCCAAATTTCGTGTGATTTTATTTAAATAAAAAGGGAAGAATTATAACAGATAAAAAGATTCATGCATGATGCCTTTGTGATAATGTCTTTTATTTTTCCTATTTTCTTCGCAGTTTTTGGAGTCCAATTCTCAAACAAGAATCCGCTATTTTTATCTCTTGGGTTTTCTTGTTTCAGTTAAAGTGGAAAAAAAAAGAGACCAAACTGCCCAAGTTATTTAGTTTTGTCTTTTTATTTTATGGGTTCCATTGTTTTCTTGTTACCTTTAACTATATTTCAAAACATTTATGAATATATTTTATGAATATATATGGACCTCAAACCCATAAGGTCTTAGGATTTACATATATTCTCCGAAAGAAATTTTCTCTACCCAATTTTTGAAATTAGCACATAATCAAGAGTTTTTCCTTAAACCAATATTTCTTTATTATTATTTTTAAAATAAAATAATAGAAAAACATTAAATTCAAGTGAACTAAATCAGGTTTTGCTTGAATTGGGGATCATCTTTGTGACTTAAAAGACTTTAAACTCTTTGAGAACAAAACCTTTTTTGGGAAAATTTCCACTAATAATCACTACGCTCATTATAATTCACTACAAATATAATATAAATCGTACGTAATTTGTCTAAAAATAGTCGTCGAATTATTTTTTTAAAAAAACTGCACATATTTTGACTAAAATTCAAGTTTAATTCCAATTGGATCATTCCTACCAACCCATACTAAACAATCATAAAAGAATGATTTTTTATGATAATTTTTTTTGGTTATTTTTTTGCTATGATATACTAATCAATTTTTAAATATAAAATTTCGGTTGAATTTTAAATATATTACAAGATTTATTAAAAATATATCTAATGATCCCATATTTTTTTACAACATTTTTTAATATTCAATTCATACTATTTCGAATGATTGTGTGACGATACATTTTCTAATTGTAAGAAACGGAAAATTCAATAAGATTTGCAACTCTTCGCGTTAAAATCTTAGGGTGTGAGCTGATAATTAATTTTTGTTTAATTTCTAGAATGAGAAGATCCATGGAAATCAGAAATAGATTTGAGTTCATCTAACAAAATAAAATTAATTAATTAACTATTTACGAGGGGTGCAATAAATTGTAAACATGAGAGGCATTGACTGCGACTGCGTGAAAATCGAAAATCGAAATGGTTTGAGGGATTGTTGATTATGTCATATCCACTTTGAGGAACCCCATGGGAGTGTGAGGGTCACGCGCGAACAGGAGGCGCGTGGGGTCAATCATGCCTCAATCTCAAGCAGAAATACGGACAGTAAACAGTGGGTTTGTCAGACGGGGAGCTTTAGATGCGAGAGAACGTGAAATAATATTTGAAGCAAGACATTCAGACGGATCTGAACCACCTCAAATTCAAAGCCAAAGCAAAACTACTACACTGTCTTTCTGCTTCTGCTCCTTTTACCGTTATTGTGTGTGTGTGTGTGAGAGAGAGAGAGAGAGAGAGAGAGAGAGAGAGAGAGAGAGAGAGAAGGGAGAGAGGGAGGGAGAGAGAGAGTTATTCGGTGGTTTCTATCATCTGCAACTGTTGGAGCTCTGCAATTGGACATGAAAAAGGCGGTGGTTTGGTTTTTCTTGAAAAATTTTGAATGATTTTGAGAGATACTCGGTAAATTTTGTTCCTTTTCGGTGTTTCCTCTTTTCTTTTCTTTTTCTTTCGTTTTCTGCTTCTGGGTTTCATCTTTTCCGGGAAAATTTCGGATGAAAGTGTGTTTGGAGAAGGAGAATCCAAAACCCAGATGGTAAAGTTTGTTCCTTGATGAATTTCAGCTTCTGGGTTTGTCATTTCTTAAACATGTGGAAAAAAAAACTAAGTCACGGGTGATATAAAGTTTGCTGCTTTTTCAAATTCAGGCTCTGGATTTGGCATTTCTGGAAATATTCTGAATGATTAATAGCTTATTGAGTAACATAATAGGTGCTAAAGTTGAATTCTTTTTGGGGGTTTCTTACTCTTTTTACCATGCGTTGATTAAGAGAGAAATTCAACAACTTTAATCCTTCTTCCTTTTTTTCTCTGTATATCTTGTTGACTGTATAAACCTCTCTAATAATTTTTTTTTTGTTCTTCCTTTTCGGTAGTAATCACACGAGAATTCTCTTTTTATCATCACCACTTTAGCTTTTTCTCTGTCTTCTTTTCATTTTCCTCTCTATTTACTTCTGTATTTTTTCAGGATTAAGGAGCAAAACATAAGGCGAAGAAGAAGATAGATGGGTAGCTGCTCTTCTTCTTCTTCTTCTGTTGCTGGTTTGGTAGGTTAGGGTTTTGTAGTTTAGTAAACAAATTTACTTGTAAACAGAAAAAAAAAGCTGTTGTACAGAGAGAGAAAGAGAGAGAGAGAGAGAGAGAGAGTTGAAAATTTGAAATTTCTTACTCCAACGAACTGCTTCTGCTTATTCCCATAAAACAAGCTGCCATGGATGATTATGAAGCAACAAGGACAGTTTTTTCAAGAATCCAGAGCTTGGACCCGGAAAACGCCTCAAAAATCATGGGTTTTCTTCTTCTCCAAGACCATGCTGAAAAGGAGATGATAAGATTGGCTTTTGGCCCTGAAGCTCTTGTCCACTCAGTTATTCTCAAGGCCAAAAAGGATCTCGCTCTCTCCCTTCCAAATGTCTCCTCTTCATCTACATCTCCTCCTACCCCTTCAACACCTTCTTCTCCATCTCCTTTCCTCACAAACCCTAGGCAAAGCTCCTTTCCTTCAAGGGTTTTCTCTGCTAACATCCCTCCTCTCACAATCCCAAACAACTCTTCCTCTTCTTCTTCCTCTTCTTCCCCTGATTTGCCAAATCAAGACATCTTGATTAGTCCAAGTAATGGTGGAGGGTCCTCACTCAACCCAGCTTCCTTACCCTTTTATGGTAATGGAGGAGGAGCTTCTTGTGATGTCATGGATGATTTCACCCTTCAAGACCACCTATCCTTCTTGAATGACAACGACAACAGTAACAGTAGCATGAACTCCTCTGTCAATCTTGTCAGCCCTAGGAGCTCATCTGATCAGCTGTTCTATTCTAAACAACCTGACTTGTCTTCAAGCCCACCTTCTAAAAATGGATACACCATCACAGATTCCATGCTTTCCCCTCATTTCTGGGCCTCTGAGTCTCTCCACAAAAGAAGCTTCTCAGTGTCAGATGTCTTGGGGAGTGAAGATTCTACTTCAGGGCTCGGTGGTGGGTGGAGACCATGCTTGTATTATGCAAGAGGGTACTGTAAAAATGGAAGTAGTTGCAGATTCGTCCATGGTGACCCAGCTGGTGGCTTTGAAATTGGGTCTCCAAACAAGATTGAGAATATGGAGCAGTCTCATGAGCTTCTCAGATCCAAATCTGCTTCTCACCACCAGAGATTCCCATCGGCTTCTCAGCTCATAGGTGGTTCTTCTTTCCCTTACTCTCCCAAAGGGATTAACTTTCTTCTTCAGCAGCAACAAAATGAGACCCAGAGGTAAGCAAAATGGGGATCTGAACTATGTTTTTCTGAATATTTTGGTGTGTTCTCATGGGTTTTTTCTGTTGCAGAGCTGCTGTCGCTGCTGCTTTGGCGATGGATGAAGATCTGCACAGGTTTGGAAGGTCAAGGCTTGAGAGGAGCGATTACAGTGCAGCAGCCATGGGCAGCCCAGCTTCAAGACAGATATATTTGACTTTCCCAGCTGACAGCACATTCAAAGAGGATGACGTCTCCAACTACTTCAGGTTTCTTCTTCTTCTTCTTACTTATGTCTCATCCTGTAGTGTTCTTGGCTCATGAAACTGAACTCTGTTTCTGTTCTTGTTGTGTAGCTTGTACGGACCTGTACAGGATGTGAGGATCCCTTACCAGCAGAAGAGAATGTTCGGGTTTGTGACTTTTATGTACCCGGAGACCGTGAAGATCATCCTCGCGAAAGGAAACCCTCACTTTGTTTGCGATGCAAGAGTTCTTGTAAAGCCTTACAAGGAGAAAGGCAAAGTTCCAGACAAATTCAGGCACACTCTCTTTACCCCCAACTTCCCTGGTTTTAAAAAAATGTGTTATTTACACACATTTCTTCATTGCTTTGTTAAGGAACAAGCAACATATGGACCGGCCTGAGTTCGTGTCACCGTGTGGTACTCCAACTGCTCTTGATTCAAGAGATCCGTTTGATCTCCACCTCGGTAAGCTACCCGAAAACCCACGAGAATTTCCAGCCTTTACCTTTTTATTCAAGATTTCTGATCTTGGACTGAACTCTTGGTGAAGGGGCAAGGATGCTGTACAACAATAACCAGGACATTTGGAGAAGAAAGCTTGAGGAGCAGTCTGATCTGCAACAAGCTCTTGAGCTTCAGAACCGGAGATTGATGAATCTGCAGCTTCTTGATGTCAAGAAGCTTCATCATCATCGCACTTTATCCACTGGAAGTCCAATCCCTTCTCCGACTCATCTCCAGTCCCCGAACTTCTTCAATCAGTGCCTCGCCCTTTCACCCTTTAGCCGCTGCCAAGAATCTTTCCCGTTAGGTATTACGGCTACTACATACTGTACTCCTCAAGAAACTCGAGTCCCCGAGATGGTTAACCCTGTGAATTTCACACCAGGTTCTATGAATTCGTCTTCCGAGATTAAGCAGACCGATAATGGGTTCTCCTCACAAGATTCTTCTCGCAACAAGGATCATATCGATGGGAAAGATAACCCTCCTCTTGATGCCGAGATTCCGCGGGAAAGGTTTTGGCGTTGAACACAACTTCACTTTCTTGATTCTGCATTTTTTGCCAGAATTATCATCCCTAAGAAAACTGTCTGGTTTCATTCAATCATCTTCCAGTTTGGATCACAATTTACCCGACAGTCCATTCGCATCGCCGACAAAAGCCTCCTTCGCCGGAAAATTCATCTCGGCCTTTGGTTCCGGCGACCAGAAGGAGTCGGAGAATAACAACAACAGCACCAATGCAATGGACACGGCGTCCTTCAAATCATACAACTGCCAAATGCCAAGGTGAATCTTTTTCTTTAATATGTAGACATTCAAGAATCAAGATTTGGGTTCTTTTTTTTTTCGTATGAAATTTTTACGAGTTTGAGATCTTCTCATTACGAGATCGAATGAATCCGACAGGTTCTCATCTGGGCATGGATCAATCGGAATGTACACAGGCAACGGAGGTCCGACGTGTCCTGTCGGAATCCGATGATAAATAGATTTCCTCCTATTATAGGTGCGTTTACTCTTTTCCTTTGCGTAATTTACAAGATTAATAATAATTTAGGGATATCGACTAAAAAACACCTAAATTTTACCCATTTGCGACATTCAGATTCAGAAAATGTTAGTTTTCGAAAAAAATGTTACTTTTGGAGATTTCTAATTTTGTATATGAAAATTCAGGATTTTTAATCATAATCCATCCAAGTTCTTTTCTTTTTTCCAAGTAATTTCACAATTTGTTTATACATATTCAAAGTGTGTTTTTCAGTTGATTCCAAGCGAGGACGAATCCTTGGATTCCTCGTTCTTTTTCATTAGTATGGGTTAATTAATCGACTAATCATGATTTTGATAGTGATTACAAGAGAAAGAAGGGTCATCAACTTGGCGGCCTCTTATCTTTGGCTGCTTTGCTTAATTTAGGGTTTCGTGTTTTCGTTTGGATCCGCTTGGTTAATTTCCAATTTAGATTTTTTGGTCTTTTAAAAAATATGCTAATTCAATTTTAGTTTTACTTTAGTTTTTTTATTGATAAAACTATTAAACTTTTTTTATTATTTTCATATTTTATTCAAATTTGTTTTTGATTTTTTTTTTTTGAAAAGCATAGGTATTTGATTTTTATATTACAATCACATTTGCTTCACATATTATACATTATTCCATTAAAAAAAAGATCACCTGACAATTTTTATAAATCTGTTTTCTATACGTGATTTAGTAATTGATTTTGCAGGGGAAAATCAAAGGAAAACAAAAGTAACCTCTGTAGAGACTCCACCACTATATCACCACCACCATAAGACATGTCACTCCCATGATCCATGATCCATGATCCATCATCATCATGTGATACTGCCATGCAACTACTTACTCCTACTGTCCCCACGATACCACCAAACCAATGCATGCACACCACAACACCACCAGCTGCTGAAGAGGGAAGTCATGTGCTCTCCTGTTTCTTTTTTCTATTTTTTTTTGTTTTTATTTTTCTATTGAAAGAAAGAAACAAGTGAAAAGAAGCTACATACTTTTTCACTAATATATATAGATATATACTTTTTTTTCTCTAATATATATATATATATATATATATAATATGTAGTATTCAGTCATGTAAAATGTAACTCCTATGAAGAGAAATGAAATTTAGAGTCAGCCAGAGCATAGCATGCTATGATTATCAATCTCAAAAAGAGAATATCCGGAGCCACAACTTACATGATTTTTTTTTTCAATTATCTACTTGAGTTGGTCTAATACTTTTTTTTTTTTGGAACAATTACAATATTTTATAACTCAAATGATACAAGATTTGAAATTTCGTATGATGGAGAGACCAATTTGCTTTATTTTTTTCATTCCTTTTTTCCATTTTATAAGTGAGGATAAAAAAAATGTTTTTTTTAAGGCAAAGAGGGCAAAACAGGAAAAATTGTTTTTGTAAAGTTGGATAGACCCGAGCGTCACATGGAGAGGTGAGAGTGGCCCATAAGTAGATTTTGATATGCCAGGTTGTCGGTGGGTCCCACTTTGCCCATGTGACGAGATCGGGTGACAGACCGACCCATATCAATTTGTTTTTATTTATTTTATTCGCATTAAATAAATAATAAATATATGTATATCGGTCAAAGAAAACTTTGCACTGTCATGTTTGACTTGGATCCAAAAGATTTTGAGTAAGCCACTTCATGATCCGTTTCTATTATTTTTTCAATTAATTTGTCTCTATCTTTTTTGTCATCTGGAATGCAAATTAACTCTTTAACATTTTAAAAAATTTGAAAATATGATATTTCTTAGCAATGAATGTAATAATTTGAGAAAGAAATGTAAATTTCGACGAGTCATTCACACTTGGTGCAAGCATTAACCCGAGTAAGGGAAAGATATATATACATGTATCATAAAATATTATATCTGATTAGTTTAATTCTTTTTTTAATACCACTTGTTCAATTATTTGAGTTTACTTATGAGGATTCCAAATATAGATTTCTTGTTTCGGATATGAAATAAAATTGGGTAGTAGGTTGGTAGTTATTTGATTGTATTTTGTAGCAGCTCATGTTTAAAGTGTAAGTATATATACACATGCCAAAAAAATCTCCAAAAGTGATATGTATGTCTTTGTTTTTTACCCTTAATTTCAGTTTCAGAACATTTGTCTTTCCTTTAAGACAGGCTTCTCGTTGCATTTCACGTAAATGCTCAATAGAATATATATATATATATATATATATAACGCACACACAATCAAGAGAATATGAGCACGGATATATATAGAGAGAGAGAGAGGGGGGGG